CCTTACATCTTGTGTACCCTTACCAACGGTCCTTACCTCATGTCCTTCCTCGCCATCGGTCCTTTCCACATGTCCACTCTTACCAACCTCATGTCATCCTTACCAGCTGTCCTAATTTTAGCCTAACTTTACCAGCGATCATTTCCTCTTGTCCATCATTGCCTCATTACTACCCATATAACGTTACCTACCTCGAGGGTAGTAATGGTCGAATTCTATGGTACTTATTTGTCATCTATCGATATTAATGGTACCTACCTCATTGCCACATTGCTGCCGTCAATAACAACCGGTCTGAATTTGTCGACGAAGTCCAACTCTTGTCCCATGTGATCAGGATGTGGAGACAGTGGTGCAGCGCGTATGTGACTTTCCGCAATTTTTAATCCAGAGTCACATTCTAATGAATCAAGTTCAGCCTCCTCATTGGGAATCACACTTTTCCCCAATTTTATGAGTTCTGATAAAATTTCGTTTTGACTTGCTTCATGACCTAGTTTATTCATTACAGTTGTTAGTTGACTTTCTGTATAACCCAACTTTAAGGCGAATTCCACCTTCCCGCTATATTCGCCACCACTGTGTCCCCAAACCTCTTCGTCAGAAGAGCTCTTTAGTTCGCCATGAGGACTAGATAGATTGAGATGCGTTAACTGTTTATCGATGTGATGTGCGTCTGATTGTGTGCTTAATTCATCTCTAAGTATGTCTGTGTCGATGGTCAAATCACTAACATCGTCTAAATCTCGTGTTGGAACGAAATCACAACCTCGTTTTAAGAAGTTATCGGAAAAGTCCACATGAACAAAGGAATGACACGCTGGTTCACTGTCAATCTGCAAACTCGAATCGTCTTCACTTGCAAGAGATTGCACATTTTCACTACAACACACTGCATCGTCATCGTCAGTACAATCTTCCAAAGTCCTCATTTCCGGTTTCGGCTTTAACGTGTTTTCTTTAGTACTTGCTAAAAAATCGTCACTTTCGACGACACCTCCTCTTTGTCGTATGTTCAAGCGAGAATTAACCGCACTTTTATTTAACGTCATATTTATCATTAACTCGGCAGACCTAACGCTGTCCACCTTTCCATAGACACAGATTATATTGGCGTCCCGATCGAGGTCCAGTACGGCCTGGGAACACTGCTCTATCGAGTCCCGATTTTCTATCAACATTGTTACTTGGGGCTCAGTCAAACTCGTGGAAAACGTGTCCCTCTCCCTCCCTTCAACAGTCAGAGATGCAATATAATTCTGAAATATAAGAACAAAAGACGAATATGAAATAAAAAAAAATCAAGAGAAAAAAGCTCCGATGATAACAGACACGCCGATTTTATTTGTATACATTACACTATCTACAAATCAGTGATTTACACTCATAACGATTAATGGAAATGGTATCAACACAGAAACGGGCGATACTTCCAGCAGCACGACTGTTATCATACATATAGGTCTATGCATACAAAATGGCGTTTGCGCGCCTAATTACTCGCATATAATGAACTTTCCAGTATCCAAGATGTGATCTCCTGAGTTGTAAACGTATAATTTAATCATTTAAATTAATGCAAGTACCGTTGATAAAATGATGTTTGATTAAATGAATTTCATATAAAATGTGACAACTTCAACATGTGTGTGTGGCTCATCCATCTCATTTGATTAAGTGCTGTTTATAAATTCTGATAAACGACTGGCTATTTTTTCCTGGTCACACACAACACAGCCATATTTACCTACCAAGTTCTTACTAACAAAACATTCGTCTAACAAAGAACGCGACTTTTTTGAGAGAAAAAATAAATCTGTTAATCTATTAAAGGAAATAATTTCTAAATACATTGATTCTATGTGCCGCATATGTCCTGTAAACGTATAACTCATAAACTCGTAAAACGACAAGTACCTCCTGGCCTCAATGACAGCATTGTAATGATTGATACGTACGGTATACCGCCTCGTTATTAGTAGTCTTTAACGGCCTTATATAGGTATGACCAGAGCGTGGTCTATAAATGGGCCCCATACATAGCCTAGGTTTGAGGGGAGGTAGAAACATACATTTACACTTACAAAGATGTCCTTAGTAAACAATGAAGTCATAACGATGTATGCACTGGTCAACCTTGGACAGAACAGTGACTGTGTGTTTATATGTACACGTAAATAAATAACTGTAAATCTATTTAACTGTTATATTTATTTAGGAATATTTTAACACTATACATATATATGCGGTTCAAGCAATGTATTTCCGGGAAACGCAAATTACACATTTCTTTTTAATACAATTCAATTATAAATAATGCAACTCTTCTCAATTAAATAAAATAATTTATAAAACATGCTAATCTCGAATGAGTGTCAATGACAGGTTGTACTTATCAATGAGGAACCCGCTCGGTCAACAATTACGGTCTTATCGTGATAAATAGCAGGGAAGGGCACCTAAAACCTGCGGCATTCCTTAAAGCTTGGTATCATAAATATGTAAGTATATGGGACAGGACCAGGTGGTGGGTACAGATAAAATGTAGAGAGACTGATAAAAACTACACAACAGACACTGCCTGTATAGTCAACAGTATATATACAGCTGTCACTCTCTTACTGAATAAAAATACATAACGAGATTTTAATACTTGGAATAGTTTGTAAACCATCTTTCTTGAAATATACAGAAACCTTCAAAATTTAACTTTGCTATGTACCGATTTTTGTTCGGGATTCCGTCTTCGGAAATGTGACTATCATACTTGACTTTTGTCTAAAAAGTCATGAACAGTGTCTCATTACACTGCTTTTATCTTTATGTTACCGTCAAAACCTATATATTTAGAATGCATTACAAGATTAAGTAAAATAATATATTTTTTCAATCAGAACCTCTCACACTAGACATCTATCTAACAAAATGTATAAAAGTCTGGTGTCAGGGCCAGACGAAACTCGGGCTACTCTTACACACTCTCTCATGTATATCCTACAGTCTTAAAATCGCGACAAGGAGAAAGCAATCAATCTACAGCCCCAAACCTCCAGGACTTCTTCTATCTCAAATACCAACAAAGGGTCATAACTGTGCAATAAAGGGACAAATAGGGCAACCAACCACATATAGGTACGCGACACCAAAGTGGTATACTCATGTACAGACAAGATTGTGACCGATGCTCCGGCCAAAATCACGCACGGACAGATGGAGTGCAGACCAGAGAGCTCTCCGTCATTGGGGAACTACATATAATTAACGCAAAATTGTCGACATGGCTATTAACTTGTAATATAAGCTATAACAGACAACACATAGTATGTCCTAAAATGTACACTCACCTATCACAGGCCGCCAGTATCCGAAGCATTAATACGGAATCTAACAAACTGTTATCAGCTCGAAGTTTCTAAAACTATAGACCGTTTTCAGTATGCGACGGACGTACATGTAGGGTGTCCCTTCTGTGAACCGATTTGATCCACAGTGAGTGTAACTTTACAAACACTTAAAATAGGGGAAGTCAAGTAGCTTGGCCCTCACCACGCGTTTCTCGTACACATGGTTATTATTATGACTGGGTACGAAATACTTGTCCTTTACAAAGCAGTAATTATCCGTTTCATATTGACAAATCACATGATTATTATATCTATAAAGTTTGAACCATGAATCAGCAGATACGTAACCCGTCACCCACACAAGCATATGGTTCAATACACCTACACTAACTAGATAGTAGATTAACTCTATCAGAAAGACGTATATCTAGTTATAACAGGTCCTTAGCCTATGAGTGTAGTCATGGTGTTATCAATCATTTTCTTATTCATTATTCTGACGTAAGTCGGAATTTAAAAACAACAACATTACGGTGTACATGTAGGTCAAAACGTATTTTTGTTCGTGATGACGATGGCTGTCAGCCTGTGTACAGCAATTGTAGCTAGCAATTTAACACAGTTTGTTGTTTATTTTATCATCAACAATGGTTCTTAAAAACAATAACTTCTATTAATTCATTTAATCAGTTGCTTGATAAAAATGTAAAATATACGACGATATGCGTATAAACACCTGTTTTAGGAAACCGCCAGATCTACGCGACGGTCCAACAGGTAAGGCTCATGGGGGTGTGAGGGTCATCCGGGAAACCCTCGGAGGCTCGGGCCGTGTGACGGTCCCCCGGGTAACCTCAAGTCAGTGTTATGGTTCCCCAGATAACACGCAGACCCGTGTGACCGAGTCCCCTATCAACCCTAGGTTTTAGTGTCTTATATAAGATCCGTGAAAGTCCACAAAAATAACCGAGTTTTGAATATTGCTCCATAACCTTTGCCAAAGCATTATGATAAGTTACAGACATGTTAACCTGTTTTACTGGTTCAGTGTAATGTTACAATATATTTATAGTTGCTCA